ACAGATGCACAGTCGAATTGAGATTTTGGGAATTTGAAGGCCAAGGCAACACCTTGAACTCTTTTTCATGTTCCTCAAACCATTCCTGAACATTTTTTGTAGTGTGGCAGGATGCATTGCATCTCAGTGTGTGTCATTCTGTGTGTCTGTGTATCTGCATTTGTGTCTGTGTGTACATATGTGTCTGTGTGTTTGTGTTTCTGCATGTGCATCCTGAAGAGTGTGAATGTGAAGAGGGGCGTGGCAGGTACCAGCAAATCCTGAGGCTCTGCATCCTTTTACCCACCGGGCACTGAGTGATGCAGTCTCTGGCAGCTTTAGTCTCAGTGGCTGCTCTCGAAGCTCTCAGTGTGTTAGCATTGGGGGTTTCAGCTGGCAGCTGACAGGGTGGGGAGGGGGTGCTTGCCTGGGGACAATGCAGCAGAATGGTGAGAAGGGCAGCAAACTCATGGACCGGCCTGAGTGGCAAAAGCTCTAGCTATGCCACTGAGTGACAGGCACTCTCTATGGGGCAGCTGCTCCTCGTCTGTGTACATAAGCTATGATGATCTCTGTCCCACCCAATGATAGCGAGGCACTCAGGGCTGGACTGGCCCACCGGGATACCGGGAAATTTCCCGGTGCAACGGCATACTATTGGGCCGGTGCGTGGCCACCTAGTGCGCACCGGCCTGGGGGTCACACGTCACAATTACACACACTAACAGGCATGAGGGGATGCGCACCCCTCCTGTCGATCACAGAGTGTAGCGTAGCCGAGCAGGCAGACCGTGGTAGAGGAGCTTCTGTTCCCCTACCCGGTCTGACAGGAAGAGAGCACATGACTGATTCCTGTCAGACTGGATGGGGGAACAGAAACTCCTCTACAGCAGTCTGCCTGCTTGGCCAAGCTACAGCAAGGAACAGGGAGAAGGGGGTAGGGGGGCTATAATGAAACACATGGGGGCTGGGGAGGGGGCTATAATGAGACCCATGGGGGCTGGGGGCTTTAGGGATACATGGGGGGCTGGGGAGGTGGCTATAATGGGACACATTGAGGCTATAGGGACACATGGGGGCCGGGGGGGGGGGGTATATGGACATATGGGGGCTATAGGGACATATGGGGCCGGGGAGGGAGCTATAGGGACACATGGGGGATGGGGAGGGGGCTATAGGGACACATGAAGGGCTGGACGTAGGTATAGGGACACATGGAGGGCTGGGGGGCTATTGGGACACATGAAGGGCTGGAGGGGGTATAGGGACACATAAAGGGCTGGGAGGGGGGGCTAGTGGGATACATGGTGAGCTGGGAGAGTAGGCTAATAGGACACATGGAGGACTGGGTGCTAATGGGACACATGGGGGGGCTAATAAGACATAAAATGCTGGGAGGGGGCTAATGGAATGCATGAAGGACTGGGAGGGGGTATAGGGACACATGGAGGGCTGGGAGGGAGGGCTAAAAGGACACATGGAGGGCTGGGGGCTAATGGGGGATGGGCTACTGAGATACATGGGAGGGCTAATGAGACACATACAAGGCTGGGAGGGAGCTAATGGGACAAATGTGGGCTAATGAGATGCATGGAGGGGCTGGGGGCTAATGAGACACATGGAGGGGCTGGGGGATAATGAGACACATGGAGGGGCAGGGGAGTAAGAAGACACACAAAGAGTCTGTGGAGAAAAAAGACATGGAGTGTTCTGGGGAGAAAGAGCAGCTGAGAAAGACGAACAAAATACACACAGAGGGACTGGGGAAGGGGAGAATTAGACACACACAGGAGCTGTGGAGAAAAAGACTAACACCACACAGAGGTGCTGATGCCTGGGAAAGAGACTAACAGAAGGGCTGGGAAAGGGGAGAAAGAGACAAAGGGGCTTGGGGGAGAAAGACTCAAACAAAATGCATCTTCACTTGTGTCTCCTGCTCTCCCTATAATTTGGGGGAGAAAGACTTTGTATTAAAGGGACACTATAGTCACCATAACTTTTACAGTTTTATGTAGTGGTCCTGGTGTCTACAGCCTGTCCCTGTAGGCTGAGCACTGTAAATGCTACCTTTTCATAGAAAAGGCATTGCTGCCTAGGAACATCTCTAGTGACAGTCACTCAAACGGCCACTAGAGCTGCTTCCTAGTCCTATGTTGAGCATCTCCACTCTCTGCATGCAATGCATTGATGCAGTGCATCTCTATGAGGACATGCTGATTGGTGCGGTGAAACACAGTGTTTTGCCACACATGCGCAATAGCCTCCCAATGCTTTCCTATGGGAATTGAATTGGCGTTGACTGAGATCATCCAGTTGTCAGCCAAAGTAAAGAGCACACTCTTGTTACTTCAAAATAAGCTGTGCATTAGCACACATTTACAATTTCTGTCCAATTACGAAACTTTTCTTAATATGTCAAGGTAGACATTGATTATATGCAAATGAACGTCTGCTTACAACAAATCAGCACTTTTGTTTATTTTGAAGCCCTATGAGTGCTTTCTTTCATGTTTGAGTGATATTTTTCAGTTTTTTTTCCCCCGCTTTCATATCTGCACACTATGCTGGCGCGATGCATTATGGGGCTGGTATTGAATTTTTTCCAGGGCTGTTTTTCATTCCCAGTCCGGCCCTGGAGGCACTGATGACCTTGAGAGAATGTCCAGCAATTGCCATACTTCACCAATCAAATTCTTCTCATAGAGTACATATTTCTCCTAATGATAGGCCTGAGATATGCCATCATGAGCCATGTGGCTAAACCCTGGTTTAAGGAGTAAAGGTATGATGAGCTGAAGTAGTTATGGGGGTCGGGGTGTTCCTTAACATCCTGTGAGACCTGTGAATCTGACAAAAAATTGAATAAAAAAGAGCAAAAATGTGACTACAGGAAAATGTTATATTTAATTTAACCACATTAATAGTTTGTCGCTATATACTTGCTTAAGTTTAATATTTTCCAACGGCTGATGTCACTAACTAACAACAAATAAAAATAAAAAAAATAAAGAAACATTTTTAATGCACATTTAACTAGATTTTTTTTTACATTTTTGTTTCTTCTTCTCTAATAACATTCTATACGGGGTTGTAGTTTATGTGCTATAAGCCACCCTTATGAATTGTACATCTATCCTTCTAAATTACTTCAGATTTTTTTCATTTTCTTCCCTAAATTGCGAAGGAGTTCTTTTTTTTATTCTTATTATGTTTAAGAACATTCTAACAGTTTGAGCCCATTTCAATCAAGGTAATGAGTAACCTGCATGTGCTTAATGATCAGGGCTGAAGTGATTACATTGTATTTTGTAAATTCTTCTTTTGATGCACTGATTACTACTACTACCCTTAAAGGGACACTCTAGGCACCATAACAACAGTTTTTTGAAGTGGCTTTAGTGCCAGTAAGATGTTTTTAAAGCAAATCTCACAGATCAGCCTACAAGGTATGCAAGTCACAGCTCTCATTCTAACTCATATCAACGTGACTTGGTTTATCACTGCAGAACAAACACCTGTAAGCCCAACGAGTGGCCTGCCTCTATGATGAAAGTTTATGTGGGTCACCCAATTCCAGAGGGCAGCATCTGCAAGACTCTCTATACTTCCCAACTCTCTCACTGAGAGCTATAATCTACACGTTATGGCCATATTTTGTTAGATTTTGGAATTATTAAAAGGAAAGACTTTAGGAACATTACACTGGTACCATTACTGCTTCAAAAATCTGAAGTGGTTATGGTGCAGAGAATGCCCCTTTAACATGTGGAACATTTTAAATTAATCATCCTCTAAAGGGAAGCACCCATTCTGAACCAAACCCAGTTCAGGATCCAAGATTTAGAGACAGGCACTCAACACCATAACCACTGTAGCTTATAGTATTTGTTATAGTGCCAGGTGTCTTTGGGGGCACTATTTTCCAGCAGTTTGAAAACAAAAAAAGATCCTTTTAGGCACCCCTGCTCGGCCCCTTTGTACCTTACAGGTATATTCAATAAAGCGAGTATTCAACGGGAATGTCAAATTTAAGACCAAAATAAAATAAAAAAAAACATTTTATAGGTCAGTTGTTTCCAGTATATCTACTTTGGGCTGAAGTTTGAAATTCTCTTTGAATTCTCACATTAAAGGACCACTATAGTGCCAGGAAAACATACTCGTTTTCCTGGCTCTATAGGGTCCTTGGGTCCCCCTCAGCCTCAGGGCCCCCCTCCCGCCGGGCTCTAGGGTGAGGAAGGGGTTAATCCCTTACGTTTTTTCCAGCGCCGGGCTCCCTCGACGCTGGGGACTCTCCTTCTCCTTTCCAGTCATTGACTGAATCTTGCCGCGCACGCATTCAGCCAGTCTCATAGGAAAGCATTCTCAATTAAGCTGAAGTGGTCTGGGTCCTTTAAGGAATAGAACTGCTCATGTTTAAAATTCCTTTATTGCACAGTCTATTTAATGTATAATCTCCTTTTATGTTTATAACCAGCTAGTGCCTGCATGAGCCTCCTTTGTGTGATTGAAGTACAATTGACAGAGCAGGAGATATGAATGTGTAGAGCGGTGGTGCCCAACCTTTTTTGATCCAAGATCTACATTTAAAGTTGCCAGCCCGTGGAGATCTACCAGTTCACATAGGAAGCAGTGTCCATTGCCTATCAGTGCTTTTAACATGCACACAATAAACAGAAAACGTATTCAGATATCACAAAAAGCAGTTTGTGAGTTGCAAAGCTGTGGCAATAAATGTATTTCCCTACCTCAGTGGGACTTCTGGCATTGGGAGGAGGCAGCTAGTAGTAGTCAGGGCAGTAAGAGCTGGTTGCAAGCCTTAGGCAGGCCACAAGGTAAATGTCTGTCATTGTGGATCTGTACTTCGACTTCATGATTTTCATGTGAGAAAAAGCAGTCTCACACAAATAAGTTGATCCAAAAAGTGCAGTTAAGTTCAAGGCACATCTTCTGAGATTGGGATATTTTTGCCCTGGTGTTGCCCTGGATTTGATCTCAATGTAATTTTGCAGTTTGAGAATCTAACTCTCAACAGCAGAGCTATCCAGTTCAAACAGTGCTGCTACTTTGGAAGCCATGTAATCCACATCAATGCCCTCCCCAAACGGAAAACGCAGATAGCTGGCAACAGGCTCAATGGATGTAAAGTCAGTAAAACGCTTCTCAAATTCTGACAAGAAGCTCTGAACTTGCTCCTCATAACGTGCACTGTCAAGCTGTGCAGAATCTTTGCATGGAGTTCTGCCTGTATCTGAGGAAAGTTTTGCAGGTTACAGCGATGCAGCCTACTTGAAAGCAGTTGCAGCTTGCTTTTAAATGTATTCAGTGAACTAATCATGTTGATCACATGTTTATCTTGACCCTAGAGCTCTAAATTCAAATTATTGAGCATGTCAGTAAGATCTGTCAGGAACGCCAAGTCCAAAAGCCTCTGGCAGTCCTCAAAATGTGCATATTCGGCTTGTTTTGAAAGCTTCAGAAACCTAGAATGTGACGGCAGATTCAGCCCATCTAGTGTGCCCAATTTTCTAAATACTTTCACTAGCCCTGGCCTTATCTTATAGTTAGGACAGCCTTATGCCTATCCCACGCATGCTTAAACTCCTTCACTGTGTTAACCTCTACCACTTCAGCTGGAAGGCTATTCCATGCATCCACTACCCTCTCAGTAAAGTAATACTTCATGATATTATTTTTAAACATTTGCCCCTCTAATTGAAGAATATGTCCTCTTGTTGTGGTAGCTTTTCTTCTTTTAAATATGGTCTCCTCCTTTACTGTGTTGATTCCTTTATGTATTTAAATGTTTCTATTATATCCCCCCTGTCTCGTCTTTCCTCCAAGCTATACATGTTAAGATCCTTTAACCTTTCCTTGTAAGTTTTATCCTGCAATCCATGAACAAGTTTAATAGCCCTTCTCTGAACTCTCCCTAAGGTATCAATATCCTTCTGAAGATACGGTCTCCAGTATTGCGTACAATACTCCAAGTGAGGTCTCACCAGTGTTCTGTACAATAGCATGAGCACTTCCCTCTTTGATTTCAGGCAAAAACTCACTGAACCAAAAATGTACCTCTGCTGAGCCATCTTACAGCCGTGTGAAGCAGCAGGTCTGTGTGTTCAACACCTGTCTCCTCCAAGTGAGCCCTGCATAACCTTCTCTGTAGACTCCTGGCCAGAAAAGAGCACACTATTTTCATAGCGACATCCATGACTTCTTTCCTATTTAAAATCTTCCCACACAATGCTTGCTGATGAATAATACAATGATAATTAAGAATGTCCGGGAAAGATTCACTTTGTTTGCACAATGCAATGAACCCACTAGTGTGGCCTACCATTGCTGGAGCTCCATCAGTTGTGATAGAGATGAGCTTGAAAAGAGGCACTTGGCTCTTGTTAACAAACTCCATGAAAGTGTTGAAATCATCTTCGCCTTTTGTGTGTCCTTTCAATGGCAAAACTGTGAGCAGCTCTTCTGTGGCACTCATGTCATCAAAAACCAATCTGATGAAAACACATAAGTGAGCCACATCCACCATATTAGTCGACTCGTCGAACTGGAGGGAAAAACACTCACATGAGTCAATGTCCTTCTTCAATTGCTCCTCCACATTCTCTACAATCACCTCACATCGCCGTGTAACAGAATTCCAGGATAATTGCATGTACTTAACAGCGGCAGCAATCTCTATTTTGTTCTTAAAATCACCAAAGAGTGAAGAAATATTTATACTCATGATATTGATGATGACACAGTACCAAGGCCTGAATCACATAAGTATCACTAAAACTTATATAAGGCAGGTACGTCTGAAAAAAAATAAAAAAATAACCAAATCATGCATCTGCATCCTCAACGAACGCTTCTTTCAAACTTCGCCATCCTTGAAAGACTTATGTTTAGCAAGAACATGACTGACTCGATATGATGCAATGATGGCCGCCTTACCCTTGGTGTTGGGCCTCGTAAAAATGAATTGCCGTGGTGCAAGTGGACTCTTCAATTCCTGCACTTTATAAATGCATAGAGGAGTTTTAGCAGGCAAATCTGGCTCATAGTTTTTGTGCACTGTTCTGAAATGCCACTCCAGATTGCCCTTTTTCGGTATGGCCACACTGAGATTGCAAATGAGACAAATGGCCTTTGAGTAAACAAAAAAATAATCCTCCTCTCACTCTGAATGAAAATGGTAAGATTTAGATTTTTTAGCATCTGCCATTTTTATGGGTTGCTAGCGAACTTTAATGGTGGCGAATACTACACCAATGAACCTGTGACCTGGCACACACTGCAAGTCGACATCAGTATAGGCATATGGTATGTGCCGCATGTGCGCGCAGCACACTACCATGCGTCCCAGTGGCACTGTGTAAGGGTGTGTGTGCGTGCAAACGACCAGTGGCAGCAGAGCCGGACTGGAAAGAGAATGGAAAAAAAAAAAACGATTCCTGCCTTATAATTCGTGTCACATAGTGTGTTTTTATTTTCTTATATTCACTACAGACAGACTCCCACCTCCCCTGTCCCATAGTATTTCCTCCCCACCCCCATACCCTCTCCCAAAGTATTTATTTTGCTCCCTTCTCCTATCTCAGAGTGTTCCTCCCCCCATCTCCTATGTGTCTCCTACCTTTCTTGTAATGTGGTCAAGCAGAGCGGACCGTGGTACAATAGCTTAAGTTTCCTGTACCCAGTCGGACTGACAGCAAGTGTGTGCCTACTTCCTGCCATCGCGATCGACTGAGAATCAGCCCAGTAGTAAAGTAAACACACAGTGGTGTAAGATCTGACTGAAAACAATAGAGGCTGTAATTAACAGTCAGGGAAAAACTGACTAGTGTAGTACAAACAGAAACACAAATGATTTAACTCCTAAATGGCAGAGAACTGAGCAGTGAGACTGCAGGGGCACGATCTATACACCAAAACTGCTTCATTGAACTAAAAATATTTTTGGTGCTTAGAAAGTTCCTTTAAGGCCAAAATGAACAAGTTGCACTACTGAGGCTACTCTGGCCTAAATGTTAAGTATTTAGCACTTGCAGTGCAAAGCAGACACATTCCTGTCGGGTGCTGCTGCTGTCTTGATGTAGAAGGCCTTGCGTACGGTGGCAGTAATTGCTTAATATGTCAGTACACTAGATTGATTCTCCATATACTTGACCTTCTCACGTATGGTTCTCTTCTCTTTACATCTGCTATATCTGGCTTCTTGACTGCTAGCAATTTTACTTGGCTGTATTATGTTTTCATGATTCTTGTTGCTCGACTGATCTACTTATCCTAAACATTGGCTAAAGGGCCACCAATCTTGCATTTAGTCTGCTGCTGTGGAGATCAGGGGAGTTGGTGATGTGACCCAATAACACAATCACGCAGACAATAGAACAATAGAGAGAGATCCTATTATGGAATAATAAACATTTATTACCAGTCCTTAAGAGTTCATGGATTTAACGCAGGGCCTCTGTAGTGTGAAACACCCCTGCAAGCAGCTAAAGCATAGTCAGGCCAAGGTAAACAATTACATACGTACAATAGAACGGTAAAGCAAACCAAGGAACACAGAAAATCTGAGTAATCAAATAAAGCTGGGTTATAAGCAATAAAGCACAATTTAGTAGTTAAACCCACTCTTGTGTAGCAAGACACCACGACAGAGCACTGACTGAATGAAGCAAGGTATATGGTGCTGAAAATGAGTTGGGACTGCTTCGAGTTTAGAATGAGATTTGGGAACTGGAGAGGAGATGGGAAGGCAAGTTAACATAGGGGAGCTGGCAATGAGATGGGGATAGTAATGAGGTGGACATCACACCGGGCTGAAGAATAGACAGGTGGGGCTGGTGAAGAGATTGTGGGGTTTGGAGATGAGATTGAGGTTTATAGGGACACTATAGTCACCAGAACAACTCCAGCTTATTGAATTTGTTCTGGTGTGTAGAATCATTACCTTCAGGCTTTTTGCTGCAAACTTCGTCTTTTCAGAGAAAATGCAGTGTTTACATTACAGTCTTGTGATAACTTCACTGGCCACTCCTCAGATGGCTATTAGAGATGCTTCCTTGGTCATGGCTGACTAAAATGCATCCAAACATTCAGTGTCTCCTCCCTCTGCATGCAGACACTGAACTTTCCTCATAGAGAATCATTGATTTAATTCATCTCTATAAGGAGATGCTGATTGGCCAGGGCTGTGTTTGAATCATGCTGGCTCTGCCCCTGATCTGCCTCCTTGTCAGTCTCAGTCAATCCTATGGGGAAGCACTGTGATTGGATCAGGCTACCACTCTGCAGACATGGCAGAGCCAGCAGTTTCAGGCTTGAATACAGCAAGATTTTGCTATATTTATGGAGGCATGACGGGCTCTGGGGGGTAAATGGTGGTTTTAACTTTATAGGGTCAGGGATACATGTATAGTGATCCTTTAATGTTTTTTTTCCCAATTTAATGTTTTTGTTCATCCCACACACGTGTGCACCATGCTGACATAATTCAGTACTAGTTAGGTATAAAATCAATTCCAGGGCTGTTATATATTGTCTGCTTGGCCTTAGGTAGGTTAAAAAAAGGATAATAGAACATGACAACATTTTTAAAACTGTTTGTACTACATTCAATAGACATATTTATGCCCACCGAACTGCAGCACAGTTAAACATTGTATTGTATTATTTAGTTGCTTTTATTCTGTTTTCCTAAAATAGTTCAGTTTCCCTGGATACAGAATGTATAAACATGAAACCTTTCCATCGATGGTTCTACACGTGAAAAGGAGTAATTTGTTTGCCACTAGGATTGAAATGCGGCAAGGACAGACAAGTTTAGTGACCATTTTTTCATATAACTTAACATCTTATCTTATTATGTTTAAGGAATTTGTATTAACAAAACTGAGTATTGAGAGCTTATGATACATTTATTGAATAGAACTCTTTTTGAATACACTGCTTATGTGGTTACCAAACATGTCACTCTCCTAAACTGTACCTGTATTTATCCCAACAGACAGCTGGTGGGGTCAGTTTACTAAACCAGGAATTGTACAGAATTAGTAGGAAATTGTAGATTTGAGTCCAAATCTGATGAACTGTAAGCTATACCTCCCTCCCCAAAATAAAAGTGCAATTACCCTGTATTATTTAATCATGGCCAATCCCTACTTTCACCTTTAGTGAATAAACACCCTAAGTGGTTTTCACTTATAAAAAATAGCTATCTTTCCAGTTGTGAAAGCTGCAACTCCCACAATCCTTTTGCCAGATTTTAGATTGCTCAAGTTAAAATGAACTAGACTAGAGAACTATGGTTTCGTTTGGCAAGCCACCAGAGGAGATGCTATTCAACTCAAGCTGCATCCTTCCTAGTAGATGGGAATTATAATTCATCACAAGCTGGGAGTCCACATTTTGCTTAGTGTAGAAAACACATTTCACATGTTTTAAAAGGTATTGCCACATGGCGTACTGTTAATCACGGCATTACATCTTGCCTAGCAATCAAATCTCACAGTCATTTTTTATTTTCCAGTAGCCTGTAATTTAGGATTTATATTCACTAATCAAACTGCTTTTCCGCAGCAGTTTTATCAAAGATTTTATGTTTCTGATGAAGGTTGAATCAAATAATCAGCAATTTCGAAGAGGTAGTGATATACATCAGTCCGCCTGGCGATCTCATAAGCAGTTTCGCCGACTTTATTTTTCAAGTTTGGTTTGATGTAGCGATTCATCAACAAAAGTTCTAGAATCTGACGGCTGTCTCGGTTCCCCGAAGCAAGGTGCAGTGGGGTCAGTAAGCCTTGAGTTTGGGCATTGATGTCTGCCCCATGTTGAAGTAAAAATGAGGCTACTGGAGTGTTGTTCCACTTGCACGCACTGTGCAGAGGGGTCCATCCATCTACTGTAACAGCATGCACATTAGCCCCTCTGGCAATCAGCTCCCGCACTATGTTAAGGTGACCGTTGTAGGATGCTCTGTGGAGTGGGGTGTAGTGGTCTTCATCAGTGGTGTTCACTAGATCTGGCTTAGTGGACAGAATTTGCTGAACTGTGTTGAGCTGCAAGAAGGAAAAGTCTTAGTTAATTTCTGTTGCTAAACATAACATGCTCCACCTCTAGTGGCTGTCTGTCAATATAAAACTCATGTGACTTTGGCTAAATGTAGAAATTAACGATTAAAGCACCATCTATAAAACTGAACCAAATTGTTGTGTTCTCTGGAGCAATTCACAAACTACCTGAACAGTTACACTAACGGTAACCTTCATTGCCTTAGTGTAAAAAGATAATGATATAGAAATATACCTCCCCACCCCCGTAAAAATGGAACTTGATATCTACAAAATCCTGATGACAGGTATCAATATATTTTCAACAGGATTGCTCTGCCTACTCTGTTGTTTTCCGCGGCAAAAAGGAGCAATTCTGGGGGGTTGTCTTCCAGTTCCTTCTCCTGCATTTGATACCATTCTTCTGGTTTTTCTTCCGTTTCTTCTTCAGACTCTTCAGGCCAGAGGCTCTGCGTCCCAGTGGGAATTAGATGTCCATGGGTCTTCAATAGTTCGAGCTGGTTAAAGTCTTCAGGAAAGTCCATGAGCTTCTCATGCAGGTCACATTCAAACTCATTATTTCTTTCTAGGTAATCATCTTTATCATCCTGCGCTTCAGTGACAGCTTCTTGCACTGTATTTATCTTCTCTGGAGAACTTGTCATCTGAAAAACACAACAGGAGTCTAAAAAATGGGAAGCAATACTTTGATATTTTTCACATCATAAAAAGACAATTTTTTATAAACGTTTTAAGAATGATTCTCTACCTATATGCGTGTTTCGAAAACGACACAAAATTTTTTAAATTAAAGAGGGCTCACATGCTGGCAAGCTGTGATTCTGAGCAATGTAATCTAAATTGTCAGGTTTGGAGAATATGTGCATAGTTCAGTTCATTATGGATTTGGTATGTGGATAAGCAATCAATCCAGTAATTAATTAGGCCAGTTAAAACAAACACTGTCTTCCTGCATTCCTGAAGTGGTAAACCAGTAAAATAAAATTATATTTTCGTTATTGTCATTTATAAATGGTATATAAAACTGATAGAAATAATCAGCACAGATCAAATTACCTACACTTAGAAGGCGGCTGTATCACGTTGTGAAAATATAACCAGGTTCTTCATAAGAAGGTAAAAGAACATTAACGAAAAGTAATAATAAAAAAAGCTACATACACAGTTGTGTTAATGAAAAATCTTATTTTCTTCTCCTTTTTACAAAATGTTTCCGCTTTTCACTCTCCATGGGCTAATACATCATTTAATCACACCACAGGACAGGCGGAATATGTTTTTATCACATCCCTATTCAGAGCAACACTCTGCCATAGCTGGGATTGGCTGTGATAAAGACAAATAACATTATTATGATCGATGGGTATTGCATTATAAGCAGGCCCAATTGTTATAGAAGTATTATCTTTTGTCCTCATCTGCTTCAGAAAGCATTACTTAATCGTACACCATAGGTAGTGTCACACATCATTATCATGATAAGGGCCAATGAGCTAGACATATTATTAATGCACTTGCACATGACGTCAACAGCATTATATATTCCCATATCTTTCAGTGTACGCAAGGTAAAACACTCAGAGGCTCATAGTAAAAAAAATAAAATTACTTACAGCATACATATAATTTTTTTCTCCTCTTTTGTTTTCCATATTAAAGAATCCCAGGAATTTAAAAGTTGTGGTAACAATAAATAAATAAATAAATCTACTTGCCCTAGCAGGGGTAGGCAACCTTCGGCACTCCAGATGCTGTGGACTACATCTCCCACAATGCTATTACGGACAAGATTCTGGCAAAGCATCATGGGGTTGTTGTCCAAAACATTTGCAGTGCCGAAGATTGCCTATCCCTGGTAGAAATGGCAGCTATAATAGTAGCCCAATCTACCTGTCCTGACACAAAATAATTTTAAAATGGGACACCTGTCAGGATAATGACAGGGCCATTCACTAAATTCCGTATTTACACAAATTAAATCCAAATGAACAGACAGAGACAATATGTATTTGGAAACTCACCAACTTAGCTATAGTCATAACCTTTTGCATCAGTTTTACCATTCAGATTTAACGTATGAAAATATTTGTGAAATCTGCCACCCTCCCCTACAGTTTCTCCCTTTGTCTCTCCCAACATGTGTGTGTAATCTGTTTGTGTGCCAATTGTGCGTATTTTTTGCTGGCTGTGTGTATTATGCGTGCGTGAGGTTTGCCGACTGTATATAATGTGCGTGTGTAATGTTTGCTGGCTGTGTGTATTGTGTGTGATGTTTGCTGACTGTATATAATGTGTGTGTGTGAGATTTGTATGCAATGTGTAGTGTGATGGTTGTAATTTACGTCATTTGCCCTGCAGGCATTTTTGTTTTTCCAATTCCTCTTTCTATTGAAAATTTCAAGGGTTAACAGAGCATTGGTCAAAATGCAAGGGTTACATGACAGGAACAGGCATCCACATGATAATGGGAATATACAAGATTGTATACACTAACCACATTTACTTCTATTAACATGACATAAAGAATATCACACAGAGATATTGAATTCCCAAGGTAGTAGGTGTATTCACAAAGAAGAGAGTGTAAAATACATCTTAAAACATAGTACAGGTATCTAAAATTCCTTAAGTCTGACTTTATACACGGTGTTAGGATGTTACCGGAGAAATAACAGGACCAAACCGCAGAAGCCACACATAGAGATATGGACACAAGTCTTCAGGCTGTAACAGGTCTTTTATTTACACACCAATCGGGTCTCACACTGAACTTGTGTTCAAAAGGTAAGAGCCCAGAGCATTGAGGGGGAAGGTTCAATGCACAGGAAGGGGAAAACGTTTACAATGAGAGAGAAGTATGAGTAGGGAAAATAAAGGGGGTTCAGAGTATATGTCATATACTGAAGGTTCTCCATTGTGTGGATAAATATACTGCTCCGACCAAACCATTGAACACGATAGTAACCATCAGGTGACTAATAATAATCAGAAAAAAGTTTAAGACATATCAAGTAGTAATAATAGAGTAAGATGGAAATTGGTGCTACAAGTTAGCTCAAGATTGTGTTAGGGTACGAAAGTGTTGCTGGTATGGGTAGATGTAGTAGGTCACATCTGGATACACAGCAAGATGTCAGCATGGAATTATCATGGAACCATGCCCTCCCAGAATACACGCGTGTATAGGAGTGTTGCTGTTGGCAATGAAAAAAAATGTCTCATGCGTGCGATCTATAGTGTGCGGCCATAAAGGGGCTGAACTAAGTTTGTGTCAGTGGAAGATATTAGAGTTGTGGTTTTTGCAGCAAACTTTCCCAGATTTTGGTATGAGTGGCTTGTTTGCCTTTTAAGCAGTAAGCCAGTTTTCCATACTGACACGTAGTATCTACTCTATTCCACACTTCTTGTAAGGTTGGGGATCTGTATTTCTCCAATACCTTGCAATGCTGTTTTTTGCTGCTTGCAACGTGTATTATAACATCATTGTTGGGAGAGGACAAAATTTATAGTGATATATGTAGGAGGAAACATTCTGGTGTAAAAGGAATGAGTTTGGGGACCTGGCACTCTTTTAACGATCAATGGACCACACAAAACCACACTCAGCCAACCGCCACACAATCGATCTCAGCCAAATATAATAGCATGACAATGGTGGACACGAAACCACTAAAGATGTTTTCTGTCACTCATCGCTACGTGTGACTTTGTGAAATAAGGTTGGATGTCATCACTCAACGCTTTGCATGAGAACGTCTAATATCCCCAAAATCCCCATAGGAAAGCACGGATTCAATGCCACACATGTGCACATGTGCATTGGGTTCCCCCCCACCCCGACGCTTAAGTCAAAGGAGGCAGAGATTCGAAGCTGGAGTGAATTAAAGGGTTATTCGCAAAGTCCCCAAACAGTGACAGTGCTGCTTTAACCCTTGCAGCAGGAGTGCAACCACCTAAACGTAACGTACAATATAATCCTTTAAATCATTAACAGAGCAGGAGATAATAAATTTAAAATTAAGCAAATTGTTTATAATGGGCAATTATCCAGTGTTGCCCACACAACTGGGTGTGCTATAAAATATAACATCAGTTATTGAAAATACAAATTGATTAACACAATATCTGATTATGTAATTAAAAGGAAAATACTCTTTGGCAGGCTAAGTGTGATGGGAGGTTTGTGGTAAGCACATTGAGAGTCAGACTGTGTCCATCTCCACCTTGCACTGACTACACCATGCATGGAGAGCATAGGAGAGTGAATGAAGGTATGTGGTCTTTAAATCACACACAGCACATTGCTACAGCATGGACTCCCATCACACACAACACATAGCTACACTATAAAACATGGACTCCCATCACACACAGCCATGATCCATGCACAGGGAGCTCCACAGACTGACACCAAGCTCTGTATTAGAACATGCACTGTGCTCAGAGCCTGCAGGAAGCTCTCCCAAACCAGTTCTCACCTCTCAGGCTGCAATCTGTACCCGGAAATGCAAACAAGAACTACAGCTCCCGGTATGCTCTGGGAACGTGTCGATGACGCGCTTCCGGTGAGCTGGCAAAACACTTGGTCTTCATGGAATACTCTGTGACTTCGGGACCTCAATAAAGCCTGGCTTCTAACTCATGGGCAGGTAGAAAAAAATAATCAACACTTTCTAAACTAGTCAGTTCAGAACTCCCAGCATGCTGTGGGATTACTGCCCACTGTGGCCTGCTGAGTGGAGCATGCCGGGAGTTGTAGTTCTGCAGCCTCCTCCCATGCTTGCAGTTAGTTACCCGGGAATTGTCACACTGGCTGCATGGGAGGTGAGAGCATGTCCTAACCAAGTCCAGTATTAATTATTACTAAAGTCAAAGCATTCACTGAGTGATAGAGCTGGAGGAGTTACCAAAATGGGGAGGGCAGACAATAATTCTGCATTAATTAATGCAATGTAGGTCAAATAAAATAGATTTGATAAGTTCTTTGATTATTTGCAGACCCAGTACTGGGTATATCTGCAGCAGGAACCTCTAGCACCTTTTTAGATATTAAGTATTTCAATTAAATTAAATGTTAATAGCTCCCCAAAAAAACCAAACACACTAAGTTTTCATTAATTACTATTCTACCAATCTACTTCTCTAATACTATCCTTACCTTTTTGTGTCACTTTACCCCACTCCCTCTAGCACGTAAGTTCATTGAGCAGGGCCCTCAACCCCTCTGTTCCTGTGCGTCCGACTTGTCTGGTTACAAATACGTGTCTGTTAGTCCACCCATTGTACAGCGCTGCTGAATTTGTTGGCGCTATATAAATATAATACTAATAATTAAAGGTTTTTGTTGGGGGACCCATGAGTAATTCAGGTGTGTAGTAGACTCAGCATGTTTCACTTGTACATTTCTGTTGGGGTGTACCAGAAAAGTGCTACCCTGTAGTTAGTATGTAGCATGCATGGAGGTAGGAGTAATATCAGTTTATTAAAAGAAACACTCCCCACACACAAAGCACATTGACTTGCTTTTTATATCTCTGGAACCTGTGGTATTTGTGACTGCTTGTAAAACGACTGATTTCAGTAGAAACCGTCACGATTATAATTTGGGGCAGAAACGCCTCCCTTGTGGTCAATCAGAAATCCAGG